TTGCTGATAGACGCTTCAATCTATTTCCCAGACTGTGAAGCAATCCAGACACAAATGCCCGGTACGAAATTAGCAGAAGGAACTTATGCAATTCGTCCCGGGAATCTTTCAAGACCCATCATTGCATGGTGTGTCTTTCCGGATAACAACCCATGGGACAAAAATGCTGTGGAACAAACTTCTAGAAATGAATCTTGGGTTGTCATTCAAAGGAGAGTGTCAGGGAACATCCAGTTCTTCAGGGATTGGCAAGATTACAAGTTTGGCTTCGGAAACCCAGCAGGTGAGAAAATTTGAAACGAGAAATTCGAATCAAAGCAAAACAAAAAGGATGGAATAGAATTTCGACGAAATAATGCACAATTATCATCTCTTGCGATGGGTTAAGGTCTTCAGCAAGTCGAGACACGTTGTCATAGACCACAAATTCTCGGGGGTCAATTTTCCAGTAGGTTTTTTTATTTACTGCGATTAATATCCCCAAAAACGTTCGTCACAATTGGCTTAAATGCCTCATTCAAAATCTATTTCTACATTCATATCATTGGCAATATTGAGAGAGTGCTGTCCTTATTTCACTGACTTCGGCTGTACGTCTTCATGAAGATAAACGCTATTGTATTTATCAAAATTTCCAGCCGAAACTTTTCGAAACTGTTGGAAAATAAAAAAAGTGGAGCTTTCAACCAGAACAGCGTTTAAACGTAAATCAGGAATTGTCAAGACTCAAAAGACCATCCAGGAAATGATGAAAAAATATACCGTTTTACCTCTTCCCACTTCATAATAATTCCTGTTTCTCAGATGAAAAATACAGGAGTTTTATTATTTCCTAGTGCTGATCCGAGCAAAATATGGCGCTTTTAAAAATTGGCAATCTGGTATTGGGCATTATTTGATTATAATTTTCGAAGCGCGAAGAATAAGTCAGATGTTGCATTGAATTTCTGCTGCTGTTGCAGAAATTTATCAAAATGTTTTTGGAACCTTTCGTAAAAAGTAAATTGTTGTACATATCCCAGAGCGTAAATTTTAGCTTCGTGAATATTCAGCAATGACTTTTTCCATGTCGAAGTACCCAAATACTGGTATAAAAGACGTATGAGCGTATATAGTTCCTACGCTCATACATTTCAAAATTCTGCTGTTCAAATAATGCCAATGCCAAAAATATATATAATCGAGGTCGATTCTTCTTCATCTTCTTCTTCTTTTAAGGCGACTTTTGGCTAGGAAACGCTGCCTTGCACGAGTTGACGAACCAGGCCAACTACTCTCTCCGATTTGAAATTATCGACGTGGACGGGAACTTCTTCGTCGCGGACTATGCCGGGTTTCACGTGGGTGCGGAATCCGACGGGTTCCGTCTCCACGTGTCCGGGTTCTCGGGCAACCTCAGCGACTCCCTGGGCTACCATTCGGGCATGCGATTCAGCACGCCGGACGTGGACAATGACGCCTCCAGCACCCATTGCGCCCACTACTACCAAGGTGGTTGGTGGTACTCGCATTGTCAGTACGTCAACGTCAATGGCAGGTTCGACACCGGCAGGACCTGGTACGACGCTG